CCTAACCAGTGACCTGTACAATGAAATTATAACCTCTTTAGACTTGTATTTAATATTTCTGTAGATACAACCTAATATCCTATTTGCTCTACCACTAGCAACAAAACACTGCTTGGATGGCTTTAGAGACTGATCGATTGTTACACCAAGTCCCCTTTTATTCATAACAATGTTAATGTTATTCCCATATATATCATACTTATAATTCAAATTATAATAACCCATATGCATTATCTTGCATTTATTATAATTAGAATCCATCTGCCATTTATTTTCCCAACTCACTAAATGATCTAAATCCTTTTGTAAATCAGCAGCATCCTCTTTACAGCTAGCAACATCCAAGACCTTAATACCATCTGCAAATTTAAGTAATTTATTGACTATCTTTTAATCTATGTCACTGATGTAAATCAAAAAGAGTAAGGGTCCTAAGACTGAGGTCTGAGGTGCCCCACTTGTGACATTAATCCGGTTTGATTGAATTCCATCTCGCCACTGTTCTATCCAATTTGCTAACTTATCCACCACACCTATAGAGATAATTTTTCACGATCTTTTATTTGGCACCTTGTCAAATGCTTTCTGAAAATCCAGATCTACACCCTACCCTCATCTACATAAGCAGTAACCTTTTCAAAGAATGTCAAAAGATTTGTAAGGCAAGATTTCCTCTTGCTGAAACTATGTTGAGTATACAATAAAATTCTAAACTTTGTTAAACGCCTTTGCAAAGCATCTTTTATCAGACTTTCCAAAACTTTTCCGACAACTGATGTAAGACTAATGGGTCTATAATTACTGGGACAATTTTTATCACCTCCCTTAAAAAGAGGAGTGACATTGGCTAACTTTCAATCCTCTGGTACCTGCCATTATTCAAGGACTGACAAAAAATAGTAGCAAGTGGCTCTCATATCTAATAACCTCCTTCAAAACCTTTGGGGAAATATTATCTGGCCCATGAGCCTTGTCATTCTTTAAATTTCCTTTTTTTTTCTTAACAAGCTCAGAATTAATGCAGCCATCTTGTTCGATCTTGTATGTATATATATATTTATGTATATATTTTCATAAATCATATACAGTATTTAGAAATTGGAGGCATATAAAGGCTAATAATATGCAAGTAATAGGTTGATAACAATTTACGTATATATAAAGAAAAGTATTTCCAAAATAATAACAAACTCTTATTTCAAAAACATATATAAAAATACCAAATCAAACATTCTGATTTTTTGTACGAAATATTTATTTAAATTTATATTTATTTTCACTATATATATATATATATATATATATATATATAGAATTTAGAAAATTATATTTTTTACTTATTTATGTAAGTTTTGATTTGTAAGCAATTTTTTAGAGAATCCGGGATACATGGCAAGCCTTCCGGGAGCCGGGAAAATCTGTACGAGTCCGAGAGGATTGGCAAGCCTAGTATTGTATATGAATTATTGAAATGCAAAAATTACTTTTGAATTATTTAGATAGTAGAAATACAAAGTTCTGTTCTATCAAATATATTTAAGTTTTCAGTTGCCCAAAGGGTGCTATTAAATTTGGTATAGAAATGGAAAATGAGCTGTGCTAAGATGTTTCAATGAATGACAAGTCATTTATCATTTATGGATAGTGATATGAACTGCGTTTAGACGAAATCTAAATCACATAGTTTGGTGAGAAGGTATATGCTCTTTGTGTAATAAGTGAAAAATATACAATAATAATATAATATATGTCATATACATGTTTCATATTTTATGAAACATGTATATGAACATTTTTAACTTACAATTTGGGGACCCTCTGAATTTGCCAGTGATCGTGGGCTCGTGTGTGTTATAATTTGTCACCGACGTTTATTGAATCTCTAGGAGACTGAACAGTTTTTTTCATACAGCGTATGACAAGAAAGTCGTTCTGGTATTTTATATAAAAATTCCTACTTTAGTTCCTATGATAGCAATAGTACAAAGACAGAGAAGAACTCTGAATGTATTATTATGCTAATTTCATCGGTGAGAATGTTAACGGATTTAGTTGACGATGACGGTTTGTTTGTAGTTATGCACATAGCTACACAATGGGCTATCTGTGCTCTGCCCACCACGGGTATCGAAACCCGGTTTCTAGCGTTATAAGTTCGCAGACATACCGCTGTGCCACTGGGGGGTGACGATGACGGTAATAAGACAAAATAATTAGAGATAGACTATCGAAATCCTTTATTTTAAAATTAAAAATAATAACTTTGCCTGCAAGTGATTATCACAGTGATAAGATTTCTTGCATGATCATGATTTATGAACAAGAAGCTACAGGTGTGTTGCTTATGTTTGTAAAAATCAGGAATAGTTGCTGTATGGAATTGAATTTCCCATTCATAATTAGTTTCAATACCCTCTCCAATACAGCCTAAATGCCTTTTCGTTTCGATTTTCATGTTTAATGTTTCTTAATAATTGTGGATTGATGAATCTGCAGATGAGCCGAATTAAAATTCTTTATAAAATAAGCTAGCACTTGACTAACCCATTATTATTATTATTACAATTTAGCTATAGCTAATGGGCCCAAAGCTTTGAGGAAAACGCATTGGTTTATGACTAAAATTATTACGAACCCTACTGTATCTTATTATAATGGAGCTTGCGATG